CCTAAGTACTGGTAATCACGTACTAAGCCCTAATAAACCCTATATTTGAACTTCTATATGAACCCTACAACACTGCCAAAGGTAACCCACTAAAGCTTCTTAACATCAACCCAGTTGCTTGAGGACTGGATGGTCGACCTGGAACAAACGAAGACATGGGCTACAGTCAATATTTCTTACATACTTTCATGGACATGAGTTCCTGATTAGGGACTATACTAAACTACAAGAGGCACCCCTATGTCCAGTGTTGAGGGCCCCTAATAAGGCCAATACTGACAATAGCTCACATGATTGTGGCAGGGAAAAATGAATCTGGGTTTAGGGTTTAGGGTTTAGGGTTTATTAGGGTTTAGGGAAATGGGAAACTACAATTGAAATTCAAGGGTTCGGGTAGAAGGTGAAGGAATATAAAACAAAATGGAAACCAATACTGAATAGGGGGACCCCAATCTAGATGAAAACCGCAGAATGACAGTCGGGGCTTGGGACAAACGGATTTTGGTGACGCCAACCTTCAAAAGTAGGAGCTGGTTACAATCACATGATAGCTACCAACCCTAAACCCCGAACCCTGCTGAAGGATGGGTGCTCATTATCAAGTTGGAAGGCTTTCAAGGCGTTTTGGAGATGTCAAACTAACAGGGTCACAGCGCTTCTTCAAGGAAGGAATGGTCCTTATTGTAGCCCCCATTTCCGTATGTTCCCCAACAAGCTAGTAATTTCCATGTTCTTGCATTCCCTGTCCTAAGCCCCCACAATGTCCTTGCGCCCAAGCCACGTCATTCTGCGTGTCGTCGATCTTCAGTATTCTCAGCCTTCTGGCGTGGCTAAAGTGGCGTGCCAGCTCATCCACGCGTGGTGACATCCGCTTGGAGAATCCTGGATTTCACTTCTTCGGCTCAGGGTTTCAGGTTTAGAGTTTCGGGTCTGAATCTAGTGGCAGACTGGTAATTGTAGGGCAGGACGTGTTCATCGGCTCGCGGGCTGGACCTCAGATATGGCTGGTTGTCAAAATTATGGTCCCTTTTTGGGTACCCTAAATATTAGAGGCCGTATTATAATAGGGATCCAAAAAGGGACCATAATTTTGACAACCACCCATATGTACACCCCCCCCAACCTTTCCAAGAAGCACCATAGACACCTAGGAAGCACCAAATGCACCCACGAAAACAACCTCTGGAAATGCAATTGTGTAACTGTAGCCTACAGTTTGGCTAGACAGACGAACGGAACGACCAGCCAGGATAGGACCGGATAGCACAACCTACAACAGATAGATGGATAGACGGATAGGCTAGCATAGAATGACAAATGGATGGACGGATGGATGGATAAACGCACCCACGAATAGCTGGATAGAGGGGATCGAACACACCAACAACTTTTGCAGAAGAATTTCCGAAGCCTTGCTATAAGCAACTCAATTTGGTGTTAGGGATGCCACCAGAAGCTGCAAGAAGCCTTCTTTCTGCTAAAGTAGAGCGCATGTTGTGTATCCCTGTGAAAGATGTACAAGCTCCGTCTTCTTCCACAGTTAACCCTGAAAACAAAAAGTTCCCAGAAAACCTTGCCGGATTCCCGTCTCGAGGCTTCAGAACCAGACTCAAGGTACCCAAGCCTCCATTCTTAACAACAAGCCTCGCCGTCCAGGGACACCCTGTTCAGGAAAACATGAAGGTAAGCCAACCTAAAAGAACACGGAGAATCCTTGGGCCTGCATGATTTCAAACGGTTCTAAAGCGAAATAACTACGAGCATGCACACAATGTAAGAAGACACAGTTCTCCTACCTTTTTTAACCTTCTGCAGACTTTGCTAACTGTTCGAACTTACACATTATGATTTGAGGAGCTTCCCTGCATCCCACATCCCTCGACTCAACAACACAGGCAGGAGGCCGCACCAGGGTGCAAAGAACATCACCAGGACATCTTTGCCTTGCTTGCGTTTGCAGCAGGAATCATTGAAGCATGGCATTCAACATTGGCTATTCGTGACTGTATATAAGGTTCCTTAGGCAAGCTGGCGGGTATTGATATTTCGCGGCCAATTTGGGGACAAATACGAACCCTCTCGAAAGCTAGAAACCCATTGCAGGTGAGTAGCTTTTTGGTGGGGGTAGCTTATGGTCATCAAATTGGCGATCACCCGATGGGAGAGAACTAAAGGCGCCTAACAATCCCTTTTCCCCTAGAAATGCAACCCCCTACCCACTGCCCCGTCTCCCAACAATGAGCACACACCACGAAACAAAACAGGACTTTTTTTTTAGTAGATCCATCCAAATGTTGCGCTCATTTTGCCAAGCCCTAAAGCCTGAACCCCTAACCCTAAACCCTAATCAGCCTTTCAAATAAGAAGCTCGAATATGCCCCTTAGCTCCCCCATCATGTCATGTAGGGCTTTAGGAGAGACCCTTAATGTGGACCCTTATACGGAGTGTTATATGAACCCTAACTCCAAGTACCCTCCTTAAGAAGTTTAGATTAAAGCTCATATGGGGACCACCTAGCTATGTAGGGAGTCTCTAGAATCGGGGTGTGTAGGGCAATGGGATTAGGGGTCGCTTCCAGGGGATCCCTCCTCCGAAGGGGTCCGTTCTGGTGGCTTAGGGTTTAGGGCCCAACAACCCTTGATGTCAGCGTGCAGGCGGACTGCGCCGTACTGACAAAGGGGGGCGCTGCAGTCGGTGGTTCAAAACATACGGAACTATCTATGGTCATACAGGGGTTCATAGCGGTGATGGAAAGTGGAAACGACTATTAGGATTTAAAGACAGATGCGCGCAGCACTGTTGCCAGGATGACGCGTGTATCCACAGTACATGATAACGATTTTTCTCACAAATCTGTAGGGGGGCAACGATTTGAAGCCTCAACCTACGCCTCAGCCTCACATCCTCGGCCCTGAGCCCTAAGCCCTAAAAGCTGCCTGCTACGTCCTAAACCCTACACCCTGAACTCTAAACCTGAAACCCTAAACCCGTTAAACTCCAAACCCTAAAACCTAAAACCCCAAATCCTTTGAACCCTTATTCAATCCCTTTTAACCCTTATTCAAACCCTTTTAACCCTAATTTAAACCATTTAAACCTGGGCCCATCCTCAGCCCAGTTGCCGTCGTCGAGGGCCAACCTACAGCTCCAGACTGACACAACAGGGGTTTAGGGATTTAGGGGTTTAGGGTTTTAGGGTTTTGGGGTTTAGGGTTTTAAGGTTTTAAAGTTTTTGGGGTTTAGGGTTTTAGGGTTTTTGGGTTTAGGGGTTTAAGGTTTTAAAGTTTTTGGGGTTTAGGGTGTTTGGGTTCAGGGTTTTAGGGTTGGTTTTTGGGTTCAAGGTTTTAGAGTTTTTGAGTTCAGGGGTTTAGTGTTTTTGGGTTTAGAGTTTAGGGTTTAGGGCTTTGTCCCCAGAGAGTCTGCCATTTCAGGCTCGTAATAAGGGAGTATAATAGGCTTATATAGGGCTTAGGATTTAGGACTACGTAAGGTGAAGAAAAGTCTACAACCATGGAGAGTCAAAGAGAAAACAAAATGGAAACTGGAATTGATTCGAGTCAGGGCGTTTGGGACCTACGGAGCAGACATTTTTCAATTTCCCCCACCCCCACCCCTGCCCCCGCCCCAACCCTCAACCCTCCCGTTGCCCCCTCCCATCCACCCGCCCCCCATCCCAGACGTAGTCTGCGAGGAATGTCTGCGCACCCAACAGCCGAGGCAGCCTGCACGATAGCGCTTACAATTATGTAAGGATACATAAGTTCTAGGGTTTACTTGGAGGGGCAAGGGGACTTAGTATTTGGGATCTGGGACAGTTGCAACGGGGGGAGGTGTGCCTCATATGAGCTATAGTCTAAACTCCTGGTATCCCCCTTAATAAGCCCTATAGTAGTCCCCTATATAATCCCCTATATAACCCCCTTTAAGGAGTTTAGACTTTAGCACATATAAATAAACAATGTACATCCCCGACCCACTCCCGAAAAGGCCTGGTATTCCCTGCCTCCCCGCTCCCCTGAAGAAGCCCTGGATACTAAGCAGGTGAATGACAGAGATAACTGGGGTTGGAAAAAAAAGGGGTTATAGGTGATGTAGGGATACTTATCAAGTCCGGAATAAACTCGCAATATCATTCTCTGGTGAAGTCGAACATATCTAGGCGCCTATAGTACTTACTACACCACCCTGACCAAGTAGGACGGGAGGCTAAGAGGCTGAGGGTTGTGGATTTGAAGTCTAAAGCTTGAGGCCAGGGTTTAAGCTTGATGTTCGTCCGTTCTGTTTGGGACTGGTGCCTTTCTGTCCGGGATTGTGGTATTTTCGGAGGGCTCGAAAGGTGGGGTAAAGGAAGGTGGTGTACAGGAAATAAGCCCCAAGAGAGTAGAGTATATACCATGGATCCTTTAACCCGCCTACCTTCATCCCACCTTTTGAGCCCCGCGATCTTCGTGGGCGAGGCAGAATGTATAGGAACCACTCCGGAACGTCTGCAAGCCCCAAGACACGAAGCGATCAAAAATGTGTCCAAACTACCTCAATTTCTGTGGGGAATTGTCAGGACTCCTCAAAATCGACCCCTGATTCAAGCAGAAACTCGCCAAAGAGTCCCGGCCGCTCGCCAAACTGCGAGGCGACAATCTCCAAAGCGCCCAGGCGAGCATCATGCTGCCTCGGGTCCTGCATAACCCAGACATTGGGTCAATGGACAGTTACTGTAAGGGGGGGGGAATGACCAACCCAGACCCACTACGAGATCCAAACAAGGCGCCTCGCAATAATCCGAGCATTTTGGAAGGATTCCACACTTCGATCCTGTGAAGGCGTGGGAAACCCTGAACTCCTGGACCTTCTTTTTGGTGGTTCAGGGTCATTACCCTAAGGGTCCATGTGGTCCCTTTAATTAGGTCCCTTTAAAGGGGATATATAGGGGTATATAAGGGCATATGGGCTTAGGGGTTAGGAGGAGAGTCAAATGGAAGATCCAGTGGAAGAAAACGAAGTGGAGGTTTATACAGGGATGTATGAGGAAGTGGGGCGTAAGATTATAACCTATGCCTTCAAGGCAACAACCTTAAGAGTAAATTCTCTCAAAGCTGAGCTAGGTAAGCACATTACGAGAAATTAGTGCCATCTAATAATTGAATTATCTTGCCACCGTTTAGCAAGGAATGAAGACATGCAAAACCATTAAGAACTATATAGGAACTGGTAGAAGGGTCCGTCCTGTCATTCCTTTTTCAGCAAAGGGAAGAACTAGTATTCTCTGGATCCAGTTATTCTTCCTTCCTCACCAAAGCTAAGACTAGTGTTATCTAGCTCCACTATTATAGCAGGCTGCAGGAAGTTGCCTGGTTATTTTCTTGGGCCTTTCCTATCTTTCTTGGGCTCTAGCGATAAGAGTGCCTCAGCAGATTCATTACAAGTAATCCAGCTGCCCTTCATGGATGTACCCTAAACCCTAAACCCTAAACCCTAACACAGGAACCTCCAGGCATCAAGACTGCCCCAGTCCGCTACGATCGCTGCAGAACGCTGCCATCGCGGCACTTCACCTCAGGTCGAAAGGGCTCGGGGGTCTACTTACGGGGGGTTAGGAGGGAGCAAGAGGCTCGAATCCTGTATAAGCCGCATATAGTATTACCCTTTGTGCAACAGGCTTCACACACCGCCTGGCCTGAGGTCCACACCCAAACATGACGTAGTGGGTAGAGTGGGGAGTCCTTACCCAAATCCTAGACCCAATATACTGTTGATGGATGAAATCTTGCACCACCTAGGGGCCCTAAACTACTGTAAACCCTACGACTTTAGGGACGTAAGGTGGTCGGAAGCCTTGAATCTAACGTGAGTAAAATGGGAACACCAAACAAGGAATCCCAAGAACCTGGTTGAAACATCAGAACCTCTCTAGGTGCATTCCTAGTATATTCCTACTATATTATTGGGTTTCCCTGTTTTGGGGTTGCCATTGAAATCCCTTACTGAGAGGTATAGCTGGAGCTATGACAGGGCAGTGGAGCAGGTATGGATCAACTGCTTCTTGTGTGTCGCAATGCTTAAACATCATCTGCTTGAAGGTCTCTGGAAGCTCAGTTAGTTCTGTGACAGGTTTCTGTCCCCTTGTCCCTTTGTAAAGTCGTACTGCCTACAGCCCAGGAACCTACTTTGAAAGCTCTCACGGAGTCACAGCTTTCATCTACTTGAGAATGAACATTGGGGTAATATTGGGGTAATGTTGGGCTAATATTGGGGTTATATTGGGTTTATATTGGGGATACTATTGGGGTTATATTGGTGATATATTGGGGTAATATTGGGGGAATATTGGGGTTATATTGGGGTTATATTGGGGATAGTTTTGGGGTTATATTGGGGTTATATTGGGGTAATATTGGGGTTATATTGGAAAATAAAATGGAAACTACTATATTTGGGTTCGGGTACGGGGTTTGGGGCTCGGTGAGTTTACTGTCAAAATTACAACACAAATAAGAACGAGCATAATGATGGCTTTTACAGCCAGGTATAGCACGAGTAATAACTGTGTAAAAATACGAACGTTGGGGTCCAGAGATGTGATTCTTTTGATTGGGATGGCAGGATTGTGGTCAAGTGACCCGGGCTTGGGGATATTGGGCGAGGGCATAGCATGCTGAATTGGCTACCATCATCCGCCGCTCGTCTTGAAGTGTATCCCGCGCAGCATGACCTGATTACTTTTGCAGCTTCTTGCAACCCCTTGATGGGATCCAAAAACTCTGGCACACAGCCCCACAGGCCATGTTGGTCGAAACCCAGAGGATTCCGGATGTACAGTTCAATCCCTACGCCAAACTTTCAACTGCCCAGGCCCTAGACATGAAACTTCAGACAGACTTAGAAATCAGGGGGGGCCAATCAATTCCTGCTACGTATCCCAGGCGTCCCTGAAGGCCTCGTTTGAGAAACCCCGAACCTGACATGGCGGGACGCCTCGCAGAAAGCGACGTGCAAAGTCGAGCAATGGCGCAATCGCCAAAGGATCTGTGGCTCCTGTGAATGTCCCGATATGGGTGTTCCCAGAAAATCGCAGGATCGCTTATATGCTCCAATACACGAAATTCCTTGTTGTCAGGACCCAGACCCCGAAAAGGGATCATAACTTTTGGAAACCCTCATCTATGCAACTATCGGAGTTCATCGAAAGCAGAACACTTGAGAGAGAGAGAGAGAGAGACCACATACTTGCTTTGTAGATATATATATATATGAACCCCAGTTCATGCTCTGTTTCCTCTTCCATTGAATTCTGCGTAATTCCCTACTCATGAACCGTCTATAACACTAAACCCTACATCCCTTAGGGATAGGGGTTTCACGAACTATGGAAATCCGAAAAGGCCCGCAGCTTCCCACTTAGAGCTTCGGCCTACTTTTACATGAAACTTCGCGAATCCCCAATCCTGACATATTTGAGTTCTGAGTACAGTTGAATATGTTTTGGACACCCGAAACCTCCATCCACCCATAGACAGGAGCCCCTGATTTTGGAAACCCTAATGAGTCCTTGCGAGTGCAGAAACAGCTGGTATGGGCGCTCACCGAGCCCGTTCGTCCAGTTCACGACTACCGCCTGGGATTTGGGGTTTGAGGCAGGCCCGGGTTAGGGATTAGGGTTTAGGGGTTTAGGGTTTGAGGTAGGCCTGGAGCTTGTTATCAGACTCCATAGAGGAAGCAGATTCACCTCTACCCTTCCGCAATTAAGCCAACAGTGATCTATGATCCCCCTTAAGTAGATAAGATATGGGGTATGTGGAGATCTTATTATAATATTCCCAAAGCCATATTCTATCTACTTAAGGGTGACAATAGTCCTTATGCGGGGTTTAAGGTTCCCAAGATGGACTAACGGACACCTGCTTTTGGAGGATCCGCACAGAGACAATTGTCAATATTCTGAGCCTTTCTGTAGCATGACCCTGGTACTTGGCTCGCCTTGTAAACTGCTCGCATGTCTCAATTCAGCAATGCACGGGTTGTCAAGACCTAGGCCCCAAGTGCTTCGAGGATACTGTCCCCCTTAAGTAGATACAATCTGGAATTCCTCAAACCCTAATAAGATCCCCCATACCCCATATTCCATCTACTTAAGGTGGACTATAGGTTTCCAAGGTTCAATTCAAGGGTGGCTACTCGTGGACACCCGGAGTTCAGGGATATGCAGGGATTACTCATCCGCGCTGCGATGTCATCCCCCCACTCAATGAGCTTCAACCGACCTTACCTACAAAGACGTTGGAAATCTAACCAAGCTATGATCTGTGGCCGAGAGCACATTGCTTACAAAAAACGAAGCGTTCATGGACCTCCTGAAGCTTTGTAGTTTTGCAGTTTTTAATATATAAGCAGGAAAAGATCCACTTAGCGATGATACAAATATTCATGGTCGTTTCAACAGTACTTTTATATTGCATACCGAATTCTATCGCCAAGCGAGCCGTCGGCATCGCTGTTCTTAAAAGCACATATTGACCGAACCGAACCCGTCCGTACAATTTGCTGCCCATTTCATCGTTCCCCTAAACCCTAAACCCCAAACCCGAAACCCGAAACCCTAAACCCTAATACAAACAACCAGCAAAACAAGCTACAGCAGCCAGTAGGCGTGGAGTGAATCCTTACTAAGTCCTCCGAACCATCCCATAAACCCTAAACCCTTAACCCTTAACCGAAAAGATATCCAGAACTTCAGTACTGCCCCCCCTCAGTAACAGTTGGATAGTATTTATAATAGGGTTATATATAGCCCTTAATAGGACCCCTAATACCAACTGTTCCTGAGTGGGGGCAGTACCCAATCCAGAACCTGCAAGTAGACCAGGGCTGGGATGCTGACTGTAGGCAAGTCCCCAACTTTTCTGACAGTCAGAGTTTGCGGCTGCAGGGTTTGAGGGTTTGGGGTAAGCCTGCTGGCATTTTCAGAAGAAGGGCTGTTGGTCTATAGGTTTAGGTGGTGTTGGATATCCGAAACCCCTAAACTCTAAACCCCCAAAACCTAAAACCCTAAACCCTTAAGCCGCAAAACCTTAAACCCTAAACACCAAAATCCAAAACCCAAAACCCAAAACCCTCAAAACCCTAGGGCTCTTGGCTTGGGACTGTGGGGTTGGTGCCTATCCCAGGGTTCCTCCACCCTCCTGCCTTTTACCTGGAAAGTTAGGGTTTAGGGTTTAGGGTTTAGGAATTTCGAGGGGAACCCTACTAAAGGGACTTTACTGGGAACGCCCAACAGAGAACCGCAAGAATTTTAGTAGAAATATAATAGAATACAGGGACCCTCGTAAGTATATTCCTACTATACTCCTACTATATTCTTGGGGTTCCCTGCTTGGGGTTCCCAGTAAACTCCCTTTACCTACTTGGAGGCTGAGACCCGATCTATAACTATAGTTAGAATCCATTATGACCTCATAGGATGATTTAGAAGAAAAAATTGGGTACAAGCACACTTAATTGTTATTGAGCTATACTTACCTTGAACCTTCACCAAAACTCACAGCTGAGAAGGCCGCCACAAACAGCATTCAAGGCCCTCCAACCACGAAAACAACCTTGGAGCTATCTCATCCTAAACCCTAAACCCTAAGCCCTAAACCCTAAACCCTAAAGCCCTAAAGCCCTAAAGCCCTAAAGCCCAAAACCCTAAACCGCGGGATCATTGCTGGGATGTGGCTGGGAGTTCCTTTCCCGAGCTTCCCTGAAAATCATGTTCAATGATGCCCCAGTTTTAGGGTTTAGGGTTAAGGGTTTTAGAGCTATCAGAGATAACCGCTAAAAGCGCCTAAAAGAAACCAGAAGGTCAGAAGGTCTGGCATACCAGTTGTTGAGTATGGCCATCTCCTCCCAGCACTCTACCCCTCAATATATATCATATGCCCAATAGATATGTAGAAATGCGGTAGTTTCCCAACATGAGGGGGACTCAAAATAGATCCCCAAATACCATGATCCTTATTATGGGGACCCCCAGAAAGGTACCCCTAATTCTGCAAACCTAAACCCCATGTACTCCCCAAATAACCCCCAATATCCCCTTGGAATGGACCCCTAATTTTGGGGAACCCCCCATCCTATATATCCCCTATATACCCCTTAAACCCTAAACCCTAAACCCTTAAACCTTAAACCCCAAACCCTAAACCCTCAAACCCTAAACCCTTAACCCTAAACCCTTAAACCCTAAACCCAAGTTTGGCCAGGGGTCACCTTGAAAAACTTCAGGGCGCTGTGCATGTCCGCAGGTAGGATGACCTTGCCAGGCCCCAGGCTATCATGGAATCCCATCGGTTTAAGGTTTAGGGTTTAAGGCTTTGCAGGGTTAGGTTTCGGGTTTAGGGTTTTAGGTTTTGTAGGGTTGGGTTTCGGGTTTAGGGTTTAAGGTTTTGGACTTAGGGTTTAGGGTTTAAGGCCTTCGTAAGGCCCTTGGGGTTCCATGCTTCATTTCCGGGACAGCAGAGCCTTCTGTCTGATGTGATTTGAGCTTACAGCTTTACTGCTTTGAATGTCGGAAACCAATCCAAAAATTCGGACCCTATTAGAATGAACTGCTTAAAAAAAGGATTCCATTTTTAGGGGGTGGGGTTAGGCTTGCCCAAATCCCAAATCCTCCTATGTGTTTCGCAAACACCTAGACAATTCCTGTTGCCATTCTCTTTTTCATCTGATTCCCACTTTGGGGTCTAGGGTAACCAAAGCCCTCAGATCAGGTATGTTTCGATAATGTGAAATTACGGGGGCCATTGCTGGTTTTAGGAAATTACATAGGGATCAATTATGTAATCATTATATGGGATTTCAGGGCTTATGATGCAGAATCAAATGGAAGAAAGAGCGCATGGAAAATGACACGGAATCTGGTTAGGTTATGTAAGATGCTGTGTTGGTAGTCGCCCAAGTAGATCAGAGATGATGCGCAAAACATTTGTGCAAAGGAAGTCAGGGCACAGAACTTCTTTTCAATTTGTTCAAATAGATCAGAATGAGAACTTCAATCCAAACGCATCAAACCTTAAACCCTACATAGACCGGATTTCCCGAATGCGTAGCAGAAGGGTTCCCGTTTTAAAGTTGGGGTCCAGGGGTCCAGGAGGCGACACGAGGTCGTTGCGTTTGTGTCCGCAAAGCGTCCGC